GATGATGATGATGATGATGATGATGATGATGATGATGATGATGATGATGATGATGATATTTCTATAAAAATGATGTTCTTGATGAAGCCATAGGGCAAAACCTTGAACGTATTATATAATGTAATTTGGAAATCCTACCAAGTCTCAACCTTTTTTATTCCCTGTTTACAATGATGATGATGATGATGATGATGATGATGATGATGATGATGATGACCTTTAATATTGATATTGTTATTACATTTGTATTATTGTTATTAGTATTGCTAATATCATCATTTTATCTTTGTAAACATTTTTCTTTTTTAAGATGTAATTTCACATGGGTCAGAAAACAATCAGTTCGAACGACATCAATTTGTATTTATTTTCATTCCTATTTCGGCACCACCTATTTACTTCTCGGAATTCCATTAGAAAGTTATTCCTTTGCCGAGGCGTGCCGGGGAAAGCGGGCAGCAACAAACATGAAAAAGAAGCGTCAAATAAGGAGAACACAATAATTACTGTAGCATATGAGGTCCACGTCGTAGGGGCTCAAATTGTGATTTTCTAGAACCAGTATTCAACACGCCTAGCTTTCTTTGATCTGCCTCAGCAATCATGCTCGAACGGAAACTGTAATAGCTAAGCGGATGAGAATAGAAGAATAAAAGCAACCTTTATAATAAGACAGATCACACACGCATCTGTCCTCATTAGCGTGCTGTGAGAATGTTTGTAGGCCTATGTATGGGCCTGGGAATGGGGGAGAAAGAAAATAGATTTAGTGAATAGACTGCAGATAGCTAGCTTGTTAGAAAGGTTTATAGATAGATGAATAGATTGATAGACGCAAAAATGCATTTATATACAAGTATTCAAGGATTCAACATTGAATGTTTTATATGTATATGTTCATGTTTATATTTAAATACATATTATTAATGCTAAATCCTTCCTTCCCTGTTTTCCTGTCTGCCTGTTGGCAAAAAAACCCCAAGGTACAAGAACCAATCACTTGCGAAATCACTAGTATGTAATGTTATATTTTACCTGTCTAATTTTGCTTTGTTCATTTGTTGCTAAGGTCCGTCAAGGAGCCTACATTCTGATATTATTGATTCACTTCTTGAATATACCTTATTAAAATGAAACAGTCGTTGTGAAATTCAGTTTGGTATATAGGAAGGCAGAAGGGCAGGCGGAAAGAAAGAATCTGAGGTTTTAAGAAAATAGCACCCAAGTCACAGAGAGACATTACGGCGGTTCAGATCTTTAGCCGTGAGGTTAATGAAGTGAGAGGTAAAACAAGCCTTTTTGAACTAGATAACGGCCGATCAATACCTCATCCTGTTGCTATTTCTGGCTTATCGTTACTTCTATTAGATAAAGACTGTTGGACCATATCGGAAAGGGTGAGAAGGATCTGGGGCGTGTGATAACTTCTTGTCACTAAATTAAATAATTGCAGCTCGGCGTTTGATAATTGTCAGTGCATATATAGAACTGCACACTTTAGAAGGATGATAAAATGATGTATTGTCTTCAGACGGGTATGTACACACGTGATTGGAATAACATAATGAGAATACCAACAAAATATTGAATTTGATGTTATTGACAATAATGTTGGTGACGTCTGTGATATGTAATTGTAGGCCTTATTGTAGGTGTTTTTGGGCCTCCATCTACACTATATGGATCATTTATAAGGCCTGATGCTTCAAACCTGCATGTTATCAAAGGCCAAAAGGGATACGACATCACAGTAGACAGACGGAGATACCCGATAAGAATCTAGCCACACTGGAATGGAACTTATCTCTTCTGCGAGCGACGCAGACTGACTAACCGCTAATCTACATTCGCGGGTATTATGATGATGATGATGATAGCGACAATAATAATAATAATAATAATAATAATAATAATAATAATAGTAACAACAACAACACTGCTACTACTACTACTACTACTACTACTACTACTACTACTACTACTACTACTACTGCTACTAACTACTACTATCATTGTGGTCTTCCCGATTTGTTTTTATCGAAACCTTTTTGGCATTATGACGTGGATGCGCGCACTTTTGTTGCTATAGCTTGTAGTCATTAGACTAGACCTTACATTGTTTTTGCATCATGTTCCCGACGAAGCCCTTTACCAGGCGAAACGTAGAACCAGTATTAAATTTGAAAAATCTACGAGTCTCTTCCCTTTTTATTCCCTGCTATCTACAATGATGGTGATGATGATGATGATGATGATGATGATGATGATGATGATGATGATGATGATGATGATGATGATGATGATGATGATTCTTATTATTGTTACAAAATGATATAGTAATAATAATATGGTAGTGATATGGATGATATGCTACTACTACTACTACTACTACTACTACTACTACTACTACTCTACTACTACTACTACTACTACTACTACTACTACTACTACTACTACTACTACTACTACTACTACTACTACTACTACTACTACTACTACTTCTACTACTACTACTACTACTACTACTACTACTACTACTACTACTACTACTACTACTACTACTACTACTACTACTACTACTACTACTACTACTACTACTACTACTACTACTACTACTACTACTACTACTACTACTACTACTACTACTACTACTACTACTGATTACAATAATAATAATAATAATAATAATAATAATAATAATAATAGTAATGCTAACAGTGATTGTAATTGTAATGAAAAATAAAAGAAATGGTTTATAAAAATAGTGGTAATGGTTCGTGAGGGCTGTGATGTCCTTTGCTTCTTCTACATCTCACAAGTTACTCTTTTCCTACTTTGCCTCGTGGCGATATATTCACGACCTTGTCGACTCTCACACTCAGCATCGACAATAAATGTACTGATAGAAATCGCAGAGCTAAAAAAGCTCATGTTCTAATAAGGCAAGCTACAATTTAATCACCACAAGTTAGTGAAGTGTCGGAAAGCTGAGCGGACGCCAGTCTTGCTGGGCGTTTGGAACATGGCAATTATCATATCCATCTAAACACTAACACAAGGGTGATGTTGTTCTGTGATATCTCTCGGGCTATCAGCTTGCCGTGGTCTACAGCAGCCCAGTCACATTCCGGGAGAAAGAGAACTTTTTAGGGTTATTTAGAGGCTGAAATGGGAAGACGGTAAGAAAAAGTCAACAACAAACAAACAGAATAAATCCACGACCAGTGCTCTCCTGAGAGTAGCAAGAGCGTGTGCTGATGAAGGATTGAGGCTAGGGAAGGTTAACATGGGGGTGAAAACTGGGGTGAAAAGGGTGTTTGGGAATGCTCTGCAACCCGTTGCGTACGTGAGCCAGGAACCACATTAGTTTTATGATTTAGTGTACATAATATGTTTAGAGGGAAATAAACGTACTGGAAGAAAACGACGCTACTGTGTACTTTTGTAGGAGGGTGAACGGGATGAAATACACTCTCCCAGTTCATTGCGTACTGACAATATTGGCTAACTGATAACAATCTGTTTTTTTCCTTTCTTTTTCACAGAAAAGCATTCACACAAAAGAGAATCTCTGGACACAGCCATTCGTGCAAGATGCAAGATTTGCAGTCGATTGTGTTGTGAATGAAGTGTCTTAAGCAGTTAAGAAGTGGTGTTCAGAGGATATAAAATAGCAAAAAGGGAGATTGTAGAGGAGCGTCAGCTGACTAGAAAATCGGTCGGCATCCTTCTTGGAATTCTGGACTCCAACAGGTGACCTTCTAGTTTACATAATATCTTTGTTCTTAAAAATAAAGCGGGTGTCTTGTGAATATCCGTTTGCATTTTTGGGCGATTGAGATGTGTGATATTTCGTCTCAGATAGACACCGCTTTGTTTTTAAAAAATCAAATGAGCAGAATAGAATTATATTCAACAACCTTTTCAGCTATCCGTTTGGGAATTTTTCCTCTCTGAAGATCCCTAAGGCCGTTGGGTTTTGTCCGTCGTTCTCATTGTGAGTTCAATTAGTCGATTTCAACCTGAGTAATTCTGGGAAAAACAAAACAAGACGTAATTTAATAGATAGATAGATAGATAGATAGATAGATAGATAGATAGATGGAGAGGGGGGAGAGAGGGAGAGAGAGAGGGAGAGAGAGAAAGAGAGAGAGAGAGAGAGAGAGAGAGAATGATAATGAGCTTTCATTGACTAAAAACTGTAACGTGGGCGTGTTTTCTTTCCTGTTTGGCTCGATCTGTTTTGGTAACACCTTTCCTCACCAAAGACCTACGTAATGAAACCCTCGTTGTTTTCAATAATACTACTCCAGGGTCAAGGACTCGCATTTACTCACGTGTACCTTTCTAATGTATTGCCAGCAGAACATTATGTACCTTACGTGTGCCTGAAAAAAACTCGATAAGTTATTTCCAGACGCCTACGCACGAATTTATGCTATAATTATAGAGTATTTTGTGGGCCGATTCATTCCGGGTACCCCATATTGTCTGTAAAGTACATCTTTAGATGTTTGTTTTTTCAAGCCGATTAAAAAAACCCAACAAATTCAGTATCATCTACTAACAAGTACTCATGACCGAAAAGAAACAGCACTGTTCAGTGTAATGATAAAACCAGTAAATTCGATGTTACTTAATGTGTCTGTTACGAAATGTTGTGAAGGATACAGAAGAGATGTGTGTCCACTGCAGTTTCTTTGAAAACATGCCTTGAGACACGTGTATACGTTTAATGTAGTTCAAATTTTCACCTTTAAATAAGCTCAGACACTGACTAAATGTTTGTATCATGGATCAATATTTGTGAAGAATGAGATAATAATAAGGCCGCGGATTCGATAGAGAAAATATAGAAGAGCTGGAATAATGCGTAACAGTCCTTGTACAACAAAGTAGGGAATTTACAATATCTTAGAAATATTATGTTTGAAAGCCCATGAAATGGCCACGTAGCTGGAATACTAATAGTGATGCTTCTTTTTTTTCGAGGGTTAAATCTAGTCACTGTAGGATCCGAAATCGTGTTCGCATTAGTGTATTAAAATTGTTCTGTTTGTTTCTTTTCTATTTACGAGGATACCAGATTCAAATGCAGTTGTTTGCGTCTTATAATTATAACTCTCTTTTTTATTGTGGTTTTCTCAGAAAACTTCCAAAATCTGCTTTCTTGACCTTCTTTTGAGAGTGGCTTTAGCTTTAGGAACAAATGCTTTGCTTCAAACTTGGAAAGCAATCAAATGTGTATTAGACGTTACTGTTCTCTGAGCCTGGAGCTCAAGTATCCAACGGCATTTTGTGCAAGGTCGATGTGAACTTGTATTCTGGAGGTGAGCTGGTACTTTTCATCAATTGCGCAAACTCTCCCGGCGGCAGAGCGTGATTCTCCCAAACGTTCGGGTCATTATGGAAGATGTTTCTCCTTTATTGGACTCAACATCTGCCTGCGTGGGTTTCTGGCACGTACAGATGGCCCCCTAAAGTACTCACGATGGTGACCCGAACAGTCCATGGGAGTAGACAGATTGGAGCAAGATCACATTGCACTAAGTAAACACTACTGAGCTTCTCTAAGACACGAGCCGCGATGGTGAGTACACTCTTACTTGTCACTGTAACCTGAATCTTTCTTGTTCCTTTCGGTATTCGTGTGAGTGATGGTTACTATGCTCCAGTTTGCTTTTCCTACTTCTTTCCATTGTTGCTGTTGTCTGAATCTATTCTCGTGATATGTAATGTAGTTTTCATCATGCCTATCTATCTATCTATCTATCTATCTATCTATCTATCTATCTATCTATCTATCTATCTATCTATCTATCTATCTATCTATTTTATGTCTGTCTGTCTATCTGTTCTTCGTTCATTTACCATGTGTGTATTTTGGGGGAGAATGGAAAAGGCGACGAGCAAGCTTGAATAGGACTAGGAGGTATTCTCTTCGCAAATCTGTGTTCTTATTTCATCCGGTTATGATGATGATGATGATGATGATGATGATGATGATGATGATGATGATGATGATGATGATGATGATGATGATGATGATGATGATGATGATGATGATGATGATGATGATGATGATGATGATGATGATGATGATGATGATGATGATGATGATATTAATATAATAATAATATTATTATTAATGATAATGCTTGTCCATTTTCCGGACTATAGTATAAACTCACCCAGCCCTGACCTCCTTTAGTCCAACTTTAGCTTCATACCTTTCGTTTTCTATGTTAACAGTGTACTTCTATAACAATGTGTCAACTACACTATCAATATTGTCACATAGCTTATACCTATCTTTTAAAGTCTGTTGTGGTGCCTTATTTCTTTAAAACAGTGGCCAATTAACCGCTTTTCCAAATAGGTTCTAAACATTATTTGTACATTGTACTTTTGTCAAACATATAATTATTAGATTTCTTCGCGCATCGTTCTGATCAAATTAATTATTATATTTCAATCGTCTCTCATTTTCAACGTTATCTCGAGATAAACGGGAAATCCTTGCCTGCTAATGATACACGTTTCCACATTAAAATAAAGCTCGTGATGTCCGTATTAATTCTTTTCTCTTTTAGTCCTATTTTCTTCCTTCTTCCCCCTTTCTTCCTCTCTCTACCTTCTAGCTTCCACAAACAACTCTATAGTGTTCCATCAACCACCCGTCTCTCTTCCCTTGTCCCTTTTACGAGAAAGACACAATGCCGTTACACAATGTTTATCGTTAATCTAGAGACGTAATCAGAAAATTGATCTCTTCTAATTTACTCTTAATTTCATCTATGAATTGACAGAGTTTTGTCAGTAACGCGTTTCACTTTCTCGGCGAGGAGGATTTGGTGTGGTGTTGGTGTTGCATTTAACGAGAGAGATCATAATGGCATAATTTATTTGCGGAAAGCAAATTGAGTTAGAATGGTCAATGAATGCAGACAGATCTATCAGCAAACTGTGCAAGTTAATATCAACAGCTTTTTATTATCTTCATATTCCCTGGCCAATGGAATTGGGCTAGTGTTCAGCAGAAACTCACCGTGTATAATGTTAAGGAGTCAGCGCAAAATTACTCTGGATTTTTGACTCACGAGCTTCACTATCTCAGTTACTTGATGTTCTCTATTCGTCCTAGAGACTCGAATGCCGTTCTGCCATACGCCATGTTTCAAACAGCAAGCGTTGGTTGGGAAAGACAATGTCTCTGAAAACAAATCTTTCTGTAGTTAAAGCTGAGAAAACATAATTGTGTTGTTTTTTTACAGTCTTCTGGTCTCAAGTTTTGAGGGAACATTTGCTGATCCAGCGGTATGCGTGATGATTTCTGTTGGGCCTTCGAGTTCCTTTCAATAGGGCGCTATTTTCATTTGAGAGACCGGATCTATCGATCACTGCCCGTTATTTCCAGATACCGTTTTCTATAGCTTCCTTTTGGAGACCTCGACTATTGTCGAAGCACCGATCATCTCTCCATTCTTCTTTGGGAGTCCTCGTCTTTCTTCTGTGGGCATTTCGGATCTGTTTGTACCCTGCCATGCTAATCCCTGAAATCTTTAGTCACGGAGATCAAAATGAATAAGAGGAGAGGTGGGACCAAGCATGAAAGAGAGAAAGAGAGAGAGAGAGAGAGAGAGAGAGAGAGAGAGAGAGA